TCTAATTTGTGGTGAAAAGAGTGGTTATATATAATTTTCCTCCATGTTCTTTTGTTTTCATGCAGAAAACTAGCAAGAGGGTCCACTTTGTGAGGACTGTAATCAGAGAAGTTGCTGGTTTTGCACCATACGAGAAGAGGATCACTGAGCTTCTGAAAGTCGGAAAGGACAAGCGAGCATTGAAGGTTGCCAAAAGAAAGTTGGGCACCCACAAGAGGGCAAAGAAGAAGCGTGAGGAGATGTCTAGTGTTCTCCGCAAGATGAGGTGATTTTCAAGTAGATACTGTTTTCATTTGTGTTTTAGTGTTTGCTCAGCATTGAAACGTGCATAAAACTTGTATACCCAGTGTTTGATCAAATTATGTTTATGAGCCAAAAGATTTGTTGTTTTCAAAATGCTAGGTTTTTTCTTCTCAAGACAATTTTTAACTCCTTCCTCTATGAATTTGCTGCAGGGCCACTGGAGGTGGAGAAAAGAAGAAGTGAGCTGTGGACTTTTGACTTCATTATAGTTAGAAGAGTTTGTTTAGCGTATGTTGTTTTTTCATTACTGAAGGAACTTAGTTTGATTTGAATTAAAAATGAGATATTGGAAGCAATGCCTTTAAAACATTTATTCTGCTGTTGGCATTTTCTGTTTGTTCAGAGAAATATTTAGTTACCTGTTTTCAATTCTGTTGGTGCTTCATTTTATATTCTTTCAGAATGAAATTTTGAGCCCTTGTTTGCCTCAACACTTCACCAGGAATAATGAATACTACGATTCTCAGTTTGATAAACTTATAATAAAGACTTTATTAATAATCAAAATATAAATATTTAAGAAACTGTAGAGACTGAATTGAACATATTAAATAACAAAATAATGTAAACTGTACCGTCTGCTTTCGTTTAAGTACCATGTAATAAGAAGATTTCACACAACAACGATGAAGTATGTTAATTTTAAAACCATCATTATTCCTTGGTTATTTCAGCCTTTTGAACTATTATTCAAATGCGATCCAATTAGTAAATTGCTAAATTACCAACAGAATTATCCCTATAATATTTTTTAATCACCTTAGTATTCATCGGGATTTGTTGAATGCCTTATAACCTTAATGTTTCAAGATGGTCTTAAGTTTTAAATTTAAGAAGTCAATGAAGGGAACAATTCACCCTCTTAGGGTTTTTTCCCTCTTAATTAAGAACAATAATTTTTACTTCTGAGTGATAACTTTTTGTCTAAGTTTTTGATGGAACTAAACTAAAGAGCCTTTAGAACATTTCCAAATGACTCTTCATATGACCTAAACTCTTTATTATAAAAAATTTATTCATAGAAACAAGAGTCCAACAAACTATTTATTTTTTAAATATAAATTAAAAAGTGAGTTTGACTCTCCACATTCAGAGAGTCAAATTTTACTCTCTATCCTAATTTTAAATAATAAATTGCAAGTTTTTATGCATTTTATTTATGATTTATTTCTCCTATTAAATTTCTTTATTGAAAAAAACATATTCTCTTCTAAAATTTAAACAGTCTATTGGATTTGAATAAAAAATTTATTTTTTATATTTAAAAATCAACAAAGATGCTCGTTATTTATATAAAATATGTTCTTTAAAATAAAGAACACCATTGGAGATGATTTTAGAGCATCTATAAAGGACTTTTTATATGACTCAAACTCTTTATTATAAAGAGTCTATCTATGAAAACAAGAGTCCAAGAGACTCTTTATCTTTAAAATATAAACCAGAGAGTAAGTTTGACTCTCCACATTTAGAGAATTAAATTTTACTCTTTATCCTAATTTTAATTAATAAACTACAAGTTTCTATACATTTTATATATTAATTCTCCCTCTCATTAAATCTCTTTCTTAAAAATAAAGAACATCTTTATTAAATTTAAAGATTCTATTAGATTTGAATAAAAATTATGTTTTTAATATTTAAAAATTAATAAAGATACCATTTATTTATATAAAAGATGCTTTTCAAAACAAAGACCACCATTAATGGAGATGCTCTTATAAACCAACATAATCTGCTCTCTTAAAATGATAAATATTAGTAGAAAACGGAAGTGAAGTTACCTGAACTTTAATTAGTCAAAGTCTTTAAAAGAGAGAGCACAAATTAAATTTATAAAGAAAAGAATGAACCAAACATACATAAAAGTGGAGAAGAT